AGTTAATCAAAAAAATAATTAGACCAAAAGATAGTGTATTAAACTTAACGAAACCAAATCTGTTAATATTAATAATTTTACTAACAAAAATGGTCAAAGAATACCAATTAACATGAATAATGCTCAGGTTCCTTATGATAACTCGGCAAAATATCTAGGTATTACATTAGATTCAAGAATCCGTTGGAAGGTCCATGTTAAAAAGGAAAGGCAAGAGTTAGATATAAAATTCAAGAAAATGTACCGGTTACTTGGTAGGCATTCCAGCCTATCTTCTATATATAACAAAATTCTAATATATAAACAAGTTCTCAAGCCAATTTGAACCTATAGCTTCAGCTCTACGGATGTACCAGCTACAGTAATATTCTAATAATCCAGAACAACGTATTAAGGAATATTGTCGATTCTGCTTGGTACATTAGAAACAGCGACCTTCATCGAGACCTTCAGATGGACACTGTTGACCAGACTATCATTAGTTTCTCTAGCAGTTACGAACAACGGCTCAACAAACATGTGAACCTTGTGGCAATCCAGCTTCTTGACAACACGAATCTGACAAGAAGACTCAAGAGAGTAAAACCTTTTGAGTTAGTCAAGTGATTGTTTTAATTACAAAAAAAGCATTGTGCGGTTTAGGGTTACACGTTAGTTTAGTGTAATTAAGTTATCAGTCCCTAAGGTATACTAGCAAGTAGAACTTTAGTTTTTAAGAATAAAACCCTAGTTAAATTGAGTTATAACAAAATTACTTATTGATCAACTCTGGATCAGATTGTAATATTAATAAATGCCTGTTTTGGAGTGTTTTTTAACAAAAAAAAATAATAATCTTAACAAATATTCATATATCTCTTAACTATTCTTATCACTACCTATAGTTCAAATCGACAAGGCACCGTTATCTTCGATCTCCTTAAGTTTTCTACTGACGCGTTGCATCATCCTTTGGACGTTTTCAGCGTTGGTTTCTCTAATTTTTTCCGATATACGAGTTGTTCTTGATTTTGTGCTGCTTACATGAGTCTCCCCTCTCTTAATTGGTTCAAAACCCGCGGCCGACCGTTTTATGGCAAGTTTATACATGGTATCCCTTCTTTATAGTCTTTGATTGTACGGTAAATTATTGATTTACTTATGTTCTGAACTTGATAAATATCGACAATCTCTAGTTTCGACATTTTCCCAACCAGATTATAAATACCTCGACGAATATCAATTTTATAAAACATTTTGGTAAGCGCAAACCAAAAACTTTTGCATTGTTTATTTAGATAACATGACTGGAGACATTTATATTTTATGACCTGCTTGATTAAATGCATTTTGTCACTCAATTCAATCAAACCAGGTGATTTTTTTCCCAAACCTTTTGGACCATATGTTATGGAAAATATGAGGAATTGAAAAAATACATTCAAAAGGAAAAACTTGTATTTCGTGCAAAACTTTTTTATTAATCAATGCAAAGCGCTTTCGGCTTATTTGCCATCATCAGTGCTCATCTACAAAAATTGTGGATGTAAACTTACAATTTAAAAAAAATATATTATAAAATCTGAATAAGACTTTTGGGTCAAAAGTTAAAATTGTATATATACGATTGTTTGAACAAATTAACAATTACAAGAAACAAACAAAGTGACAAAAAACTGGTATAGGGAATAGTGAGTGTGGGATAAGCCCTTACAAATCAAATCTGCTCTCCAGAAGCAAGTTAGCTTGTGTGGAATTAAGGAATCATGCCACCCTCACTATTCACAAAATTGAAAAAAAGTTACCAAATTAGTTAAAATTTAAAGAAATTTACAATTAGAGAGTGACTGTGGAAGATATATTGAAATTTGAATCTAGAATACAATATTTGATATGAAGAAAGTAAAACGCAGAAGGCCAAAGTAAAAAAACTGAAGGTTTTTTTATATATTTTATATACATTATAATTATGAAAAAGTCTACCTACTGTCCACAACGTATCCAATAAGTTCCTGGTCATTCTCACTCCCAAAATTATATATTTCGCGATATTTACAACTTGCTAAATCATAATTTTATTAATATTAATATTTTCAAATTTAAATTTCTCTCTTCATTTTGGTTCAAGTTGTTTAACCGTTTCCACATGACAGTGGTGACAAGTGACACTTGAAGACTTTGACTTGTCAAATGTCAACAGAAGGAGGTGCGTTCACCTCAGTGTGGAACATGTTTCTCCGAGTGTGATTCGAGTGATTGGAGGTTAACGGAGATCAAAATTTGTTATTGAATTTAAAGATTTAATTTATTGTTAGTTAAATTTAAATAAATGTTTAATATAAATGATATTATTATTTTGATGTCAAGACAAAACAAAAATGTCACTCGCGTGATTCTGATGTGCCAGCCCGGGCTCTGCAGAACATTCTTTCAGAGAACCCAAGATGGCACAACTGAACCCGCGGTCCCTAAAGGTGAATCTGATGTTTAGTCCTAAAAATTACTAAATCACTCAACAAGCGTACTATGAAAAAAATAAGCTCGTACGGTGCTTCACTAAAGCTTATCTCATTCGAATCTTTGAGTTGAGTCAAGCAATAGACTGGAGACACCAAGACCTGATATTCTTAACAGAGTAGTTGAGTTATATAACGAAAATCCATACGACATTCAATATCTGTGCAACTTTATCATAATACAATCAAAGTACAATAAATATACTGATGTATATGTATTTAAAATTCCCTTAAAATATAACCACTCTTGTATTCAAAATAAAAGGATAAACATAAAAGTAAAATTTTTGTTTTAAAAAATATAAAATTCAAGCGATGGTAACACATAATTAAAGTATAAGGATGACAGTAATACATAGTTTGACAGTTGACAAACATCTATTTAGTGCCTAAATTTTTATTGGTTCTTATATCGCATAAAATAAGCTCTATAAGAAATGTAGTACATTTTATACAAAATTATTTAAAGTTTAACAGGAATTTCTGATAATCAATAGGATTTACAGTTGGAAAAAATAATCAAGTGAAAACCACAGATCGATCAAAGTTTTCGTTTGAGAGTTATCGTGCCGACGCATGTACACACAGATATACAAGCATATAAATATATTTCGTTTTTGGAATGTGAAGTAAGAAAATTTTCTTCTTGGCACGAATGCAATATCGAGGCCTTATATATAGAGTGCCTCAGTAACTTATTGCGCGCACTATATAAATATCTCTTGAAAGCCAGCTAAGATTTTACTTCTTAATCCCGTTTGGTGCCACCCACGTATTTGCAACTATCCCTACCTTACCCCTTTTTAAATACTGGCGAACGATAAATTATTCGATAAAATCAGAGTTTGATGAAGGGAACGGGATAAACCAACATATCAAACCGCTTGCTTTAGTAATTTAGTTAAACCAAGCTACTTAAAGTTTGCATAATTCATCACCGACTTACCCGTTTTATCGAAACTTTACCCGAAAAGATCATTTCATTATAAATTTAATGTATACTCATTAACCCTCAATGACAGAGTTGACTTTTAAAATACATTATTTTTTAGATAAATAAGATTTTGTCAAAGAATATTATTTTTGTATATAGTAGGTATAATAGTTTAATAAGATCGCGCAATTCATATATTCGCTCCGTGCGCGACAGCAGCGCCAATTTGTTTTGGTATTAAAGGAGTATTTCTGCCTATACTGACAAATACAATTTTTAATAGAATTCGTAAATAAAAAGTATATATGTTAGTTTTAATAAAAGTATATGGATTTATAAAACAATTAAAACATTAATTTATTATTATTATATATTTTTCACGCTTAAATTGAAGAAAATTATGTATAATCATTAAAAATCAATATTAAAATATAGACAGGCAACAGTATTTACTGGAAAATGTATGAGAAGTTGCCTAAGTCTAATAAGTTGTCATTGAAGAAACCATTTATAATAGCGTGAAGTTAAAATGTATAAAAAGGATTGCTACTTATATTTTCATTTTTGTTCTAAAGAAAACAGAATGAATGATTAAAACTGGTTTCCGATCAGTAAGTCACAAAATTGCATACCAGCCAAATATTATAATCAACGGCAGAAATCTTGAAATCTATTCCTTGCTGAATGAACATTTAAGAATAAAGGGATATTAAAGAACATCGTAAAATGATAATTTACTGTTTATTTAAAAACTTTCTAGTTTCTGATGTCTACTATTTCCAGCATTACTGTTATTATCACAAAAATAAAGGTAATTTTTCTTCTTATTGTACACCTATCCATTTATTTCTTTGATTTAATTTCCACTTTGTTAGTGAAATTTGTTATATAAGTTTCACTGTTTTTTTTTGCTAGTATTTGTACAATTTTCAACACAGTAACTCCGGTTGCTTATTGTGTTGTTTTTACCTACTTTTTTGAAAAAAAGTAAAATGTATACGTGTATTTGATATGCCAAAATTACAAAATATCCCCCTAAAATGCACGAATTATCCGTAGCTAGCGCTAGTATCGCTTTTGCTTCCCTTTCCATGACTTCGCACGGAGCGAATATGGTTATTTATAATAAAATACCAACCCTTTTGAAAAAGGAATCCAGGTATGTTGTGTCATTACATAAAAATTAAATATGTATTTTTTTTACTACTAACCTGAGAAATTGCTATTATTCACTCCATTCCCCTAACGAGAAGTAATATTTCTCACCCTAGGTAAATTATGATAATAAAAAAACACCTAGGTAAATAATGAGAACAATTCTATAATTTTAAAAGTATTGACAGAAACTTTAGTTAAGTTAATTATCAACTAGAAGTAGAAAATTGAACATAGGCATTAGGCTTGAACATTATTTGAAATTATAATTAATTGTAGAATTGTGGCAAATCATGTGTATTCTAGCATTTCCTGTATTAATGGAACTGACATTTGGACCAGGTAAATTCACTTCTGTATTATAAATAATCCTCGTATTTTGAACGCATTCATTGCCATTTTTCACAAAATTATCTTCAACATGGACTTGCAGAGGAAGTTGAGGGTATACTTGTAGCTTCATTGGGTAAATTAGGTTTTTGCACTAATCCGGCAATTCTCTTCTTATCAGCTATTGATTTCTCAATATACCCTTCAGCCACTAAACCCGATTTCCACCCACCGTGCCGTTTCAGGCTTAGTAAGTCTCCTCCATTTTCTGCGAGAAGTGTTGCCGAGCTACGTCTTAGAGAATGACCAGTATAACACTCAGGATTTTCTAATTTGAGATAATTAGCCACGACACATGGTACTTTACTAATAGTATTGTGCCCAATATTTTGTTTAGCATGTTTACCTTTACGGTATAAAATAAATAATTTTGTCATGCCAGTTGGCCTATTAGCTAAGTATTTTTTAATAACATTAACCCATTGTGGCTCAACAACAACAAACTTCCTTTATGCTCTATTCTTTGAATTAGGAATATTTATTACGATAATATCATCGCGAACATCTAAATCGTCAAGGAGTATATTGCATAATTCATCTGTTTTATAGGCACCGACAACACCAATTACCATAACAACCTAAAATATAGTTCCATTGAAAAGTTAAACACAATCTAATAATGGGAAAGTATACCTTTTTTGATAGATATTCGTCATCAGGAGCTTCAACTATAAATTTGTCAATTTCTTCCTTCGTAAATACTTTTGATTTCTTAGGTTTATAACTATTGTGTAACGAAGTTACTTTTTTTTTATTTATTTAAGAAATATAGGATCCGTCGGAAAACCGAATTATTATTTTTATATTCTTTTTCGTATTCATCATTTAGCTTTAACGTTAAAAATTCGAGTTTTCAAACGTTTACTATATATTGAATCTTCCCATCAAAATTTTTTATAAGTCAGCGGACGATCGCCTGCATTTCTTCACCTCAATCTTCGATTAATAATCGAGTTTGCACGACGAGTGGCGAAAATCACCTGTAAAACAAGCTGCACCGGCCAGATCTCATTATCCACGGGGGTTTATAGCATATGCGCATTTTGTCAACAAGTTACTGCGCATCGAAACTGGCGTACGTCCGTTTTACAATAACACAATTATATATAAAATATAAAGAAAACAGAATAATTACAAAATATCTCAATAAAAATGTGTTATTAACTTGCCAAAAGTAATAGTTTCACATTTTTTTTTATTTATCAATGGTAAAATTGAAAAAATATGAATTTATTCAATTATTTGTACAATGTAAACCTAGCTTTGGATAACAAAACCCAAATCTCGTTAATGCTCGAGTCGACTCGATAAACGAAACCCGAATGATACAAAATGCAATATGGCTGTCGATGTAAACAATTCTAAGTGAGTTTTACTTTTATTTAATACAGTTTTAGGCATAAATTTAGTAATAATTTACTGTAAGTAAACTTATTTTGATACTTTTGCATGTCTATGTCCTATAAATGCATATATTTGATTGTAATAGTAAATTGTTCTGGCCCATTTACACTGTTTTAGAAGAAACATTTTCATTTTATTGTCAACTGAAAAAAGGATTATTATTCGTATTCGTAATTTTGTTATCCCCAAATATTGAAATCCTTAACAAAGTTTTAATTCTGATATTCATTTTGATAATTATCCTAGATATGCCAATTTAATTGTATGTATTATAACCAAACTTTTTAATCTTTATAAATCTAAAGTATTTTCATTACATAAAGCAAGAAAATCTTAATTAGACGTTATAGAAATTAGAAGTAAATTAAAAATTAGTTAAATCGCTGCAAATGTAAAAGTAATTAGTCACATACAATCAAAATCATGTGCTTTAGGAAGTTTTTCGCTTTCAACAATTGTTTTTTTTTCTTTTCGTTTCAGGATTTATGGATGGAGATGGAACTCTTGTTTTATTTCGCACGATTAAAGAAAAATATTGTTCGTTTTGTGTTATTTAAAATAGTTGTTTATTCAGAAAATATATATTATGTTTATTGTTGTAACCAAATAAAGATTCAACAAATAATATTTAGTTATAATACAATTTTGTATTATTTATTTTATACCCTCTAAAATTATTTACAATTAAATTTTACATTCTTTTATTATCATTTTTTTAACAGGCATGAGATGGCGTGTTAAAAAAATGCTATTAAAAATGTAAAAATCTTATATTTTGTCGAAGTAAATTCAAAAAGCCCCGCCATTTTTCAAATTAAAATAGCATTACAGCTTTTTATATTACCCGACTGAGTATTAGTTGCACAAAACTATCCTACATGTCGCTGAAGGCAAACATGTTGCCATATTTATACAAAGAAACGGCAACTCTTAATTATCCTTCCTCCATGTCATTATCTTTCCGCCGACGCTTGAGTTAGTAAGCAGCAATCCTTCAGCAGTACCAGCCGCCTCCGATTAAACAAAACCCGTTCTCCGAGTACAGGTAAAAAAAACTGATTTCTTATCGCGTTGTTTTTGGAAGTAAATAAAAGACACATCCCGATTTATACCGGCTTTATTTTGCATTGAATTTGAAATACCGAAATAATTAATATTAAAGCATTTTGCTCTGTTAAATATCTTTACATTTTTAGAAATATTTATTTTCATTTCTCGACTGAATTAATTTTTTATTTTATTTTCCGATTTTGGATACGATTAAATTATTTAATAAGATAAATAGATTTAACGATTTAATTGCTGCCAGGTCTAGGTTAATTTTTTTTTACAGTTGTTGAATCTTTTATTTCAATTTTCTTTCCTTTAAATTAAATACAGGGTGATACTCGTAATCAATTTAATGATAAAAAAAATAATGTCTGAAAACTAACTAGTGTTTTTGTATGCGTGATTGTGTCGCTACACTACTAGTGATTAGACATTATCCGTGGATTTTATTTTTTTTATTTATTTTATTAAACAGGGGTCAGACCGAAAACACATTTTTTTTTTTATTTCCGTATAGGAAAGTAAATACTATCTGATACCTAGCTAGTGTTTTGTATGCGTGATTGTGTCGCTACACTGCTAGTGATTAGGTATTATCCGTGATAAAATTTAGTTTAATTTTCCTTTAATTAGTTTTTCGATTAAAGTTTAAAAGAAAAGAAAATATTGTCTAAAAACTAACTAGTGTTTTGTATGCGTGATTGTGTCGCTACACTACTAGTGATTAGACATTATCCGTGGATTTTTTTTTTTATTTTTTTTTAAAAGGGGGTCACGACCGAAAACACGTTTATTTGAGTTCCGTACAAAAAAATAAATAGTATCTGATGTCTAGCTAGTGTTTTTGTATGCGTGATTGTGTCGTCACACTGCTGGAAATTAGATATTATCCGTGGTTACATTTTGTCTTTTACTTTGATTTAATTCCAAAAGGGGTGGGATATTAGATGGGAAGCTAAACTAGTTACCTGGTACCGATTAATTTTATTTTTCATAATTGTTAATATTGAATTCTATTTCCGTATATATTCCCTGTTCATAAGTAAATGCTACCGTAATCCGATTTAATTCAGAACTCCGTGTTATTTGCTTTTATCTGTATATTTATCTAAATCACGTCTGATTGAGCTCCGACCTGTCAAGCCATCGTCCCGCAACCGCTTATTTTTGTTATTTTTTTTGTTCAAGGTTCTAACGACTCATAAGGGGGTGGCTTTGAAATATTTTAATTTTTATTATTGTTATTAGCTTTCGTAAGCAATAGATGTATTAATTTTCAAAAATTTGGCTTATAATTGTGTCGACCTTTCCCTTTTTCTCTTTCAGCTTCGACAATTCTTTAAACGTAACAATAACGATTAAAAGCCCGTTATTGTTACCCTCTTATGTGTATAGTCTTACATTCAACGAGACCCCTGGAGTTTTTCCGTCATCTCCACTAGAAGCTACCTGTGTTGTGGAGCAAACCACATTAATAAAACTGGCGCTCGAGTACTTCCGAGTCATAGGGTGTCACTAGTAAGGGTAATATTTTCTTAGAGGCAAGAAAACATCTTACAATTGTTTTTCTGTTTTAAAACCATACGAGCTTGAAAAACTTTAAAATGTCAATATTTTCTTTTATTGCAAGTGTCGATTTTAGCATGGAATAATTTTCACATAATGTTGATACCTTTTTGCTTTCAGATTTTTCTTTGAAACACGCTAATAAAACATTTTCTGTTACTTTAGCAACTTTCCTTCTTCACACCATGTTTTCAGTTGGTTGTATGCATTCATGTACAGTCTCTTTGTTTTTTCCGGAAACAAATCGTTACTTGCACTAGCTGCCGCCTCTCTAAGTTCAGGCGGGGTACACGAATATATCTCTAAATCATCGTAACTTGAATTTTCACCCATTTTTCAATGGATTATACTGACGTTTTAATGATATAGAACTTTTAGCTTATTCAATATGATATCTAAATTTGATTTATGACCGCGTTTGGTAAGCTTACAGCAATAATAATCATTGTGCAGTACTTTATTGTTATGGAAACGTGTAACGGTTGAAACCGTTTTCGTTATTTAGACCCAACATTGTAACGGTCGAAACCATTTTCGTTATTTTGACACCAACATCTCTACATAAATGTCATTTGTCGTTTATGCCTTATGTCAAAAGTTGGATTATCATTTCGATTCGTCTCTGTCAACAAGCAAGTTGATTTATTAAATTTTTAATTATCTGGGTCATCTGATGTACTAATTGTCTATTAATATTCTTAATGGCCGTATGATTTTAAAAAGGTAAGTTTTCCTACCGATATTTTGTTGAAAAATATATATTTAGTACAAGAATTTCTTAAATGAAATGTAAAATAAAAACATAACCTCAAATACTGGAGTAACACATGATAAAACGTTTTGTATTATTTATAATATTATTTT